GCCGGCATGACTCAACTCCCGAAAGCGCACGGAACACTGTTCCCTTCCCACCAAAGGTGGTTCCTATTTTTCTACTTGCATTTTTTACGTGCTTTCGAACTGCTAGGTTGGCAGAAGCTGGGACAAGTCACGGGAGCTCCCTCCGTTACAGGGCACTAGGGATTCGAACCGCCGAATTTTCTGATCGACAAGCTCAGGGTCTTAGCCGCTGCGTCCCCCAATAAATAAATAAATAGATATATAAATATAAATGCCTGCAGGGTGGAGTCAGGGCAACTAAATGAAGCTGAGCATTTACTGGCCAGATGCCCTTCCTGTCGCCAAGGCAGAGTTAGCAGCAGACTCTACTTTTGCCGTTGTCTGGGGAAAAAATACTCACTCTGGGCAATCCTGCATGGCTGGTGTGACGGAAGTGGGTTCGAGGGGCACCCTCCCTGCGATACCTAGAGAGCCGGAAAGCAAAACCAGATGAAGAGTCCTTGACGTACTTGTCGTTCACTGTCACTGTGTCCCAAAGTCAGGTTTTGTGACCTTCTAACAAAGTTAATTGGGAAAATCAGATTCACTTGATGCCTTAACTAACCTTGCCCTGTGTGTGGAAACTAGTTATCTGGCAGCTCTGTAAGCGAGATAAGGTTCATGTGGATAAATATTCCTCTGAAAGACTGTTCGCCAAGCCTTGCTGACTGTGAATGAAAGGAATTCGCAGTCCTGCCAAGTATTGCCTGTCCCTGTGTGTAGAAACTAGTTATCTGGCAGCTCGCCAAGCAAGATAAGGTTCGTGTAGATAAATATTCTTCTGAAAGACTGTTCGCCAAGCCTTGCGGACTGTGAATGAAAGGAATTCACAGTCATGCTAAGTGTTGCCTTCTCCTGTGTGTGGAAACTAGTTATCTGGCAGCTCGCCAAGCGAGATAAGGTTCGTGTGGATAAATATTCCTCAGAAAGACTGTTCGCCAAGCCTTGCGGACTGTGAATGAAAGGAATTCGCAGTCCTGCCAAGTATTGCCTGTCCCTGTGTGTAGAAACTAGTTATCTGGCAGCTCGCCAAGCGAGATAAGGTTCGTGTGGATAAATATTCCTCTGAAAGACTGTTCACCAAGCCTTGCGGACTGTGAATGAAAGGAATTCGCAGTCCTGCCAAGTGTTGCCTGTCCCTGTGTGTGGAAACTAGTTATCTGGCAGCTCTCCAAGCGAGATAAGGTTCATGTGGATAAATATTCCTCAGAAAGACTGTTCGCCAAGCCTTGCGGACTGTGAATGAAAGGAATTCACAGTCGTGCTAAGTGTTGCCTTGCCCTGCGTGTGGAAACTAGTTATCTNCCTTATTTCTTCCTACGATCCTTCTTTCCTTTCTTCCTTCTGTCTTCTCTATCCATCCATCCATCCATCTCTTTTTTTCTTCCATCTCTCCTCCTTCTTTCCTTCTGTTCTTCCCCATCCATCCGTCCGTCTCCCTTATTTCCTTCTACGCTCTTCTTTCTTCCTCCATCCCTCTTCTTTTCTTCTATCTCTCTTCTTTCCTTTTCTCTTTTTGTCCTTCATCCATCCATCCATCTCCCTTATTTCCTTCTACGCTCTTCCTTTCTTCCTCCATCCATCCATCTCTCTTTTTTCTTCTCTCCTTCTTTCCTTCTGTCCTCCCCCATCCATTCATCCATCCATCCCCCTTATTTCCTTCTATGCTCTTCCTTTCTTCCTCCATCCATCCATCTCTCTTCTTCTATTTCTCTTTCCTTTTTTCCTTTTGTCCTTCCCCATCAATCCGTCTCCCTTATTTCCTTCCACGATCCTTTTTCCCTCTCTTCCTTATATCTTCCATCCATATATCTCTCTTTCTTCTTTCCTGCTACCTCCTACCTTCCTTCCTTCTGTCCTTCCCCATCCATCCATCCGTCTCCCTTATATCTCCCATCCATCTACCTCTCTTCCTCCTTTCCTCTACCTTCTTCCTTTCTTTCTCCTCCCCTCCCTCCCACCCATCCATCCATCTCCCTTATTTCCTTCCTTCCCTCCTTCCCCATCCATCCATCTCCCTTATTTCCTTCTACGGTCCTTCTTTCCTCTCTTCCTTTCTTCATCCATCCATCTCTCTTTTTTTCTTCTATCTCTCTTCTTTCCTTCTACCTCCTTCCTTCCTTTCTTCCTTTTGTCCTTCCCCATCCATCCATCTCCCTTATTTCCTTCTATGGTCCTTCTTTCCTCTCTTCCTTATATCTTCCATCCATCTATCTATCTCTTCGTTCTTTCCTTCTACTCCTTCCTTTCTTTCTCCTCCCCTCCCTCCCACCCATCCATCCATCTCCCTTATTTCCTTCCTTCCCTCCTTCCCCATCCATCCATCAATCCTCCCTTCTGTGATTCCTTGGGTGTCTTCCTCCCTCTTTTCTAAGTGGCTGCTGGGCACCCCGGGGTTTCTCTAAGCGCCAACTGGGGCAGAGTTCGGGTGCGGAGGTAACGATGGAGAGAGCCAAGGACTGACTTTCCGGAGCAGCTTTTGAGAAGAGGCTCCGATTCCTCTCCCATTGCCCGAACGATCGTCAAAGGTTGCTCAAACAGAGCCAGTGGCTTTCAAGCAGGATCAGCCACAATGAACTTGGCCAAACTGGGGAGACACACACAAAAAAGGAACCGAGATCTAAATTAGGGGCGGAGGCTGTGAGTTCGATCCTAGGTAGAGGCAGGTATTTTTCATCTCTGGGCAGATCGAGAATATATCTGCTGAACAAAACTCCACACCAGCAACAGGAAAGGCATCGGGCCATTAAAACACTCCGCTCCATTTAGTTGTTCAAGACTCCTCCCCGTTAGGGATTACGGGGTTCGTTAAAAGGAGGAGGAGGAAGAAGAAAAGGGGTAGAGAAGAAAAGCCAGCTTTAGATCTTAGTTTACTTTTCAGAGGCTGAGAAACATTCGGAGAAAGGAACTTCATCCAAAGTCATGTTGCTGTTGATGCTGGTGGGGGAGTTGCCTG